AACAAAGTGTTGTTAAAAATTTGAGTCTTTTTTACTCCTCATACTTTGGTCCAAGGTGGGAAAATAGGAGAACAGAAAACTCAATTTTAAGAAAAAATAAAACAAAACAAAAACCTATTTTGTTGTCTGCATGAGGACATTTTTACAAGCAAAGTGAATGTTGAGATAGGAGAGATGGGTGTTCTTCTTAATTCATGGACCACTTTTGACAAGGGCAGCCAAGAATTTGGACTGTGGTGTGAGCATGTTTGCGATTTGGACTCTGAACATTTTCCTACCCTCATGTTACTAACTCATTCACATGCTGCCACAGCCACTCTTTGACCTTGAATATGCTCATTCATTACCTACGTTGATTATTAATTAATGCCACGATTACGATGTTCAATTCCATTGCATTCCTTGTTTGATTAAGGTTGGAATCAATTGGATGCATAATAAAGCTGTCGGTAACGTTTGTAGCATTGAAAACTATGCTTCTTTATGTGAAATGTTCAGTAAACTAACCTGTCAAACTTGTGATATTTGAATCTGATAGTACCACTTATTTGAAACAAAAGGATCAGTTTGGTAGGATTGAAAACTATTGCTAGGACTGAAGTCGTGTATATTAACACACTTACACGTGGGTAACTTTGACAATTGGGTGCAAGATGAAAAAAGGTATCAACTGGCATTGGTATTGGTATTGGTATTTGTGCAATGTTAGGAACAACCTTTCCTGAAAACTGTTGCATGATATGTTTTCAACTAATTGGAAATGAAATAAAAAGTTGTCGCAAAAAGGGAATTTTTCACTTTCTTTTTCTTGTGAACCACTTAGCATTTTCCATTAGAAAGATTAACATAATCTCAAGGATTAAGAGAGATTGATTTAGTGAGTTAATCACCCTTTTTGTAATTTTTTTGAGTCTTCTTGTTTTCAAGCATGAAGGAGTTGACAAATTTTTCTAAAGACACTTAGTTTATGTTTGAAAAAAAATGTTAATTAATTAATAAGTTTTTTCTCATTTTGTGTCTTGCAAAGAGGAATTTTCCATCAAGATGGGAATCAAAATACAAAATTGATACTTACGGGAAACATAAGAGCTTGAATGTTGTAGTTGTTTATGTATAAATCAGGAAGAGAACATTTTAGTCTCTATCATTCTTCTGTTATTTAAGATTGTCAACCTCGATCTACTTCATGTTTCAACTAAGGTGCATAGGATCCTACCTATAAAAATATACATTCATATGTTTTAAAAACATTTTCAACACTCTAATATTTTTAAATTTAGGGTTTAATCATATAGTTACAACAACTAAATTTTTTTAAGTTAATTACTTATCATATTCATTGTACTTTTATTGCATTTTATTTTTCACTTTTATTTCTAAAATATTTAAGTAAATCATAAATTTTCTAAAATTCAACAACTAATATATCTATGACAATAGGGAACTTGATTCCTGAAAAAGAAAATTTATACCTAAAACAAACTCTCCAAAGATATTTGATCACAGGAAGTTGAGTTTAATCCAATAATTGGATACAAAACAGAAATGTGTCAAATTATACAGTTTTATGTACCTAAAATGACTTGATTTCTCATAATTGTAGATAAAATTTGTGGGCGAAAATCCTCAAGTGTATTCTTTTTTCATTTCCTTTACTTAATTTAATATATATTAAAAAAAGATTAACTATATTTTTAATTCCTAAACTTTTAACTAATATTATAATTAGTTTTTGTCAAAAACTTTATACCAATTTTATTTCTACACTTTATGAATGAATATATAAAAACACTGAAGAGTTTATCATTAGTCGAATGTCATTCCTTCTGAACCAAGCACTAATTCATCAAAATCATCCGTTCACAAACGAAAAGAAAAAAAATTGTCATTTGTGGCATCATAAATTATTTAACGTTGTTGAGTGTTGAAAAGAACATGCATTATAGAAATAAAATTGGTACAAAAAGTTTATGACAGGAAGAAAATAGAATTTCGCTTGAAAGTTTAGTATCTAAAAACATAATTAACACTTTAAAAATATTACTTTTGTTAAGAATTTAATTAAATTAACTAGCTGACCAGTAGCCAGTCATATCTGATTTTGTCAGTTTCTTGAACTATTATTCTTCACCAAGTTATCCACGAGTTGACCATTTTCAAGTTTAACTAGTCGACTAAGCAAATTCGGTTAGGTTTTGAAAACTACTTGTGTTATGAACAAAATACCATTAATTGTTCTTTTAAACAAAATTAAATATTGCTTTTGATGAGAGTAGAAAATTAAAATACTATATAGACTTCATCTGGTGCTACAAGAAAGTTGCTGTGAGAGGTCAACATTTCCAAGCATGGCTGCAGGGGAATGTCATCCTTCATATCTGCCTTTCTCATCTTATCTTTGACTTACATTCTAAAAGCTTTAACCATACTTTAGATTGCTTAGCAAACATACCAACCAAAAAGAATTTCGTTACTACTTCTTCATCCCAACATCTCTTTTACTTTCTCTTTCTTTCTGTTTCCTTTTTACAGTTTCTTTAAGATTTTAATATTATCATCGTTTTGAGGATAAAAAAAGTACAATCATTTGAAGATTAGTAAATTAACCTTTTTGATCACTCAGTATATGCATGTGAATCATTTTAAGTTAATATCAGTTTTAAAGGCTACAAAGAGAGAAATAACATACTAGCATTAGTTTATCATAAAACATTTTTTTTACTTATAACTTTTAAGGTGTTTTATATTAATTATAAAATTAATAGAATTAGCACAGTAACATGTATGATTAAAAAAATACATCGAGATAGCTTTGGTCCCAATCATGAGATTATGTAACATTTATAACCTTTAATAACTTTATTACTGTTAATTGTCAGCGACTAAATTTCATATTAGTATTAATACCAGTTTTGAGCTAAGTGCTTAACATGTTTTCTTTTCATCTGTTCATTTACTTGCTTGCGCAATCGCTTGTTATTATAATATATATACATGTTATGCAATTTGAACAGCGTTGATGATATATATATA